GAGAAAGGTACATAGATCATATGTAATAAGTTATTAGATAACAATATGCACTTATATTAATTATTTAACAATTATTTTATCATTATATATTCTCTAATTACATTTCAGATTCTTTCTATGCATATACATTGGTTTAAACATTTCATATGTTTTAACATACATTAAATAGAAAATAATTTTGATATATTATAAATTTATGTTTCTTTTTTCGATTAGAAATTAAACGTTCACGTTATTCATAATTATTCTAAAAATAATGAATAGAATAAAGAGAATGTAGGATCTTATAGCATAGAAAATCATGTAGAATGATCTTCGTGTGAATCGTGTATAAACGTTATTGTAAATTTATTTAAAACAATTATGTATATCGGAAAGTATTTAAATTGTAAAGATTCTTTATCGATACAGATTTTGGCAATTTATTCTTTCATATGCTGCATTTTATATTAGACATTTTTATATCGACAATTCTCTTCCATACGATTGTATTCTTTTATGCAAAACGACAAAGTTTTTGTAATGTCTACATTATCTTTATTCAATTCATTATTTTTAGAATATTTATAAGTGTTGTGTACATTTATTAGAAAAATAGAAATGATTTTTAATTTATTTAATAAATAAATTATCATATGTAGTTTGACCAGCGTGGTCATAAAGAAGGTCAGATTCTGTCCGTGTAAGAAGCTGTGAGGACCCTTTTCATGTTYAAAAAAATGAATTAGCCAATCACAGCCAAGCTTTCGTCCGAATTCTTTAGTTTCATGGCGTCTTTCGTGGAGAACACATCGGAGTGTAATCGTCTCGTTAAAATCAGGTAATTAAAAGATATTTTGTAAGGTTCACACCTTYCTATTACAATATATAAAGGATAAAAGGATCGATTTTGATTTTTTGAGTATATTTTGACAATTTTTATGCTTCTATATCGTATTTTTAATCTTTCGAAAWTTTTCTTTATTATAGGTGGAAAGAAGATCTACTACGCATCATTTTCGCGCATGCAGTATTTTCGCGCCAGTCTTATGCGCCTGTTTTATGCACTTCAATATGGCGAATCATTCGAATTTTTTAATCTGTCATCTGTATAYGTGTTGCAGCGGATTTTGTTATCTCGTTAATTTCAGGTAATTTTTTCATTTAATTTTTTAAATTACACTTTCCTATTATATATCAAATAATTGCTCCATGCAAGATTTTTATACGTTAGTGTTTTCATATTTTACTTTTTTTTAGGTTCCTAGCATGGGTAGTAAAACATTAATCAATTGATCACATAATTAATTTTTAAATTATTTTTTATTAATTTAATTTTCACACATATTAATTAAAACTACCAAACTTAAGAAATAACTCAAATATAATTAAAATATTTAAAAATAGTATTAATATTATATACATAAAATATTTAAGAAATACATTATAAACTAATAAATTTAAATCGTAGATTCAATTTTCGCGCGCTATATAATTCATGCACTAGTTATACAAGTCACAGTTAAATATCACAGAGTGCGCTATATGCGATGTCCTACTGTCGGTAAAACAGTTTTTTTTACTTTTGTTCCTCTTCCATGACACGTACATACACATAAGCGTAAACATAACCATATATATGTGTAAAGATTTTTCTTTTCTCCCCACTTATCTTCTTGTTCCCTGCTAACGTAATACTCCTTACTTACTTGTTAAATCACTTCTATTTCCCCTACTTTAATCTCATCTAACGATGATCAACTTTAATCCGTCTACTCGCGGCAATTTCGAAGTGGACCATTCATACTCGCATTCATGATAATAAGCCGGGAATTTGAATGATTGGAAAAACGAGTTTGACGATCGATCGTATAAGTATTCGTGTAACTGTTATGCAAGTAAGTAAGAAAGAAACTAATTAATTATCACCTTCATCTAATGCGGAGTTAACCAAAGGAGTAATGATCAAATTGGAGTGTTAATCATTCTTCACTGTCATCGTCGTGCAATGGTCAATGTGTATTATCTCTTTCTCTCTCTCTCTTACTCTTACACGTACTATGCATAACACATATATACATATATATATATATAGATGTATTAAAAAGGAAGGTTCGTTAAATTTGTGTGAAGTCCGTTAAGCACCGTTCGGTGTTCCATTAAATAACGTTCCATAAGGCCGATTACTCGTAGAGCTCGGTATGGGTGTCTGTTTCTGCTTAAATTAGTGCACAGTGCGTGGCACAGCCTTAACTCAACACTCCTCTCCTCGTCTAACCAAAGTCAAATCATTATGCCAGTGATAATACGTCGTTGCCTGTTGCTGTTCTGCTGTTACAAATTCGATATCAAAGGAAAAGGTATATATAAATCATTGTACACAATCATTATTTTATTATTTATTTAACAATTATCAATAATACAAAATCATATTCGTATAATACACTTGCTATGGTTCTGTATCAAAGGGCGTAGACGCTCCCCTGTGTGGTCCAAAAGGGTTACACGAGTTCACTGCATTTGTTTTTTCAACCCTATAACACTTTATTATATCTTTTCAATTTGAAAAAAAAGAACACAGTTTCTACTTTTGTAAGATGGTGAATCTTTAAAGTACATTTCATTGACTTCTATTATGGAGTAGTCAACTGTGATGACATTTGAGAAATGTAACTCTCTTGATGAAATGAAAGTTAGTTAACTTTGATTGATTCTAATTTGACATACAATGTTAAAAAGAAAAAACTAGATTTCAATTTTTATAACTTTATGAGGTAATAAAGAATAATGTTATAACTGTTTTCTTTTTTTTGTTTGGTTTTCAATTGGTTATGTATGCATATATGTTTTGTTTAATATTAATGTTATGTGTTAACGGTCTTGTTGTTAAATTTGTTGTATTAGTAGTCGATAATTATGAACAATTAACAACTTGACGATAGGATGCAACGAGGTCAGTTGAGAGATATTTCCTCCTGGATGACCCGCCTGTTTCCTGAACCCAGTGAAAGGATAGATGCTTTTAAGATGTTTGGATCAAAAAGCAGCTGTCCTACGAGCACATTTTATACGGACTTAGAGATCACAGAAAGTAAGGAAGTCATTACGGAAGAATACGAAGAAAGACAATGTTCTAAAAGTTCACGATCATTGAAGCAGCAAAGCAGAACTAACGAAGATGGAAGCTCACAAGATTCAGATACACAAACTACTAGCAGTGAAGATCATCAATATTCTAGACATTCCTTTCATAGAATCGCAAGTTTTGGGGGTTTTCCAAGGTTTCAACCATTCGTTATGTCAGCCTCCTCCCCAGCAGCATGCATTGATATTAGTAGCAATGAAGAGACATCCAATGAAAATTCTTATGTTGCTATGTCGCACAGTGTTTTAGAATATAGAAGTAGCAGGTTCGAACCATTTAACATTCCTCCTTAATAATATCGTTTGATTGATTTCAATCCTAATCTTTATTTGATTTTATCTTACATTATGTTTAAATATTTGTTTTATATTTTTGTTTTCATCTTTTAATAGATGAATCTCTCTAATTGCATAGGTACGCAGCTTCAGAAAGAAATTCTCATCAATATACTCTAGATGCGTATGCTATAAGCGAATCAGAAAGTGAAGAAGAATCAGAGGAAACTAGATCTTCTGAAACGGAGTCTATTACCACTGTGGATCACACAAATGAATCTACTACATCCGAGCCAAAATTACGTGTACAAAGAAGTTCCCCTGATTCCAAAAGAAAAAAGGCGCATCGTGTAGCAGAGGAACTATTAGCTACTGAAAAGAAATATGTCAATATTTTACATCTCATCGATCAAGTATTTCAATTTAGAGTCGATCAAGAAAATAGAGCGCATCCAATGTTTCCCCCTGAAACGGTTCAACACATGTTTTCTAATATTAAGTCCATTTACAAATTTCATAATGACTTTTTATTACCTCAATTGGAGGAACGAATGCAATGCTGGGATTCTAAACCTAAGATTGGTGATATTATGAAAAATTTTGCACCTTTTTTAAAAATGTATACAGAATATGTTAAAAATTTTGACTACGCAATGAATCTGATAAACACATTACAAAACAAAGTAGCAAGGTTTGCAGCAATAATTAATGATATACAAAAATTGGACGAGTGTGCTAAATTATCACTGCCGCATCACATGTTAAGTCCGATACAAAGATTACCAAGATACGAATTGCTCCTTAAGGATTATTTAAAAAATCTTACAGAAGAAAATCCTGATTATGAAGATACAAAAAGTAAGAAGATGATTGAAATTTAATAGATCATTTAATTATATGTGCATATATAATAAATAATATAGTAAACACAAATGTGTATTTATATTACATTTCAGAAGCTCTAGAATTAGTATCTACAGCTGCTAATCATACAAATGAAGCAATGAAAAAAATAGATAAGTTTAAGAAACTATTGGAAATACAAGAAAGTATATACGACGCGACCGATCTAGTCAGTGCAACACGCGAGCTCATAAAAGAAGGTCGTATTGTAAAAATATCAGCGAGAAGTGGCGATCATCAGGATAGGCATTTGTTTTTGGTATGTTTATAAACTAGCTTTTTTATTACACAATAATCTTAATTATGAAATATATTTATATATATATATATAAATATATATATAAATATATATACTTATATATATATATATATATATATATACTTTCTTATTTCAGTTTAGCGATCTATTGTTATTGTGTTCATTAAGACTGATACCTGGTCCTCCATATCGTTTACGAGCCAAATTTTTAGTAGAAGATTTACAAGTTGTCGAAGGTGATAATTTAGAAACAGCTAATACTTTTTATATTAGATACGAAAATAAAAATGTCGAGTTGTATACATATTCTGCGGCGGAGAAAGCATCATGGTTAGATGCATTATTCCAAACTATGCAAGAAATAATGAGACGCAAAGCTAGTTTGAAAACTGGTAATGCTAAAACATCTTTGGTTAAGGCTGACGATGTAAATAGATGTATGGTTTGTGAAGTCAGTTTTTCGGTTATGAAAAGGAAACACAATTGTAGAGCATGTGGAATTGTAAGTTAAATTATAAAAAAGACTATATTATGATTTGAATATATTTTTTTACAAATATATTTGTAAAATATATTTTACAGGTTGTTTGCAGTAAATGTTCTAATCAAAAGTTATTATTTGAAGACAATAAGAATATGAGAGTATGTAGACTATGTCATGCTGCATTAACTCAGCCTCTTAGCAAATCTCCATCGTCTCCTTCAGGACCAGTGCCAAGTTTGTTGCAAGTTTCAGCTAGTGCACCATCAGTATTGTCTGGTTATCTTTTATTAAAAACACAAGCGAGCAAACCATGGACCAGACGATGGTTTGCGTTGCATATTGACTTTGTTTTATATTCATTTAAATCAGAAACAGAGAGTATGGCCATGACAGCAACACCAATGCCAGGTTTTATGGTAACTGATGGTGGAATGTTAACAGATGAGGACCCTTTGAGTAGTAAAGATCGTATAAGAGCATTTAAAATGCATCATTCTAGAAAATGTTACTATCTACAAGCTTCTTCTGATGACGACAAAGAAAAGTATGCATTTTATAAAATATTGTCAACTATAGAAAAAATATTAATTGATTCATTTAAAAGTGTAAAAAGAGTAAAATGTATTATGATTACAGATGGATGCACGCATTACAATTAGCCACAAAAGCTGAACTACCTCATTTAACAGAACAGATCGAAAACGAACACGCACAAGAATGTCAATCGTCGTTAAATGATATACAATGAAAATGAATATCATCACATTTACGAACTAGCCAATTTTGTACTATTCTTCTCATAAAAATAATTAGATTATTAGACAACTGTAAGATAATCGTTAGTTAGCTATATTTAAAGAAGAAGAAGAAGAAAAAGAAAAAGAGAAAGAAACAAAAAGATAACGTTAACTTATGTTACATATTTATATATATATATATATATATATATATATGTAATATATATATATATATATATATATATGTATTGTTACTAGTGTACACTACGAATCGAGTCAGTAGCGAAAGAAACGCTGTCATGACGCTTGTTGTTTTGTAATGTTCTGTTATAGTATATTTATAAATATATATATGTCGTTCGAATACAATTATGCTAATATACACACATATATATATATATACATGTATATATATATACCGATGAAGTAATGATTGATAAAAGAGAATTTGAAAAAGAGAAAACTAAAATTGCTTTAAACGTTAATTATTAATATCATATATCAAAGTATAACGAGAATAAAAAGAATCATTTCTTATCGATAAGTTGTTTTTAACGCGTATCGTCGAATCTTGTATCTCGCTATTTTAGTAATTATAATTATTCGTAATAAATAAATATATGTATATACAAGATATCTGAGATTTGTCCGATGAAATGTTATATATAAATTGTATATAAATGTTATATATCATTAACGTTTACGTTTTTTTATCATTATTTATTAAGTTTACTTTTTCTAATTGATTTAACAAATCCCAATCGATATTAGGCTTACTATTCTAATCATAGTATCATTTTTTATCTCGCATAGAACACATTTGATCGGAAAAAACCTCAGACAACCTGTATGTACCTTCCCGATTTAGAAAGAGAAAGAAATGAATCGAAATGAAATCGCGTTTTAATCGTAGAATATATATTTTATCGCAATTTTTCTTCACATCGACAATTTGAACAAATAAACATTTATAGAAAACAAAGAAAACGAAAAATACAGATTTACAGTGAGAGATTATCATGTTTAATTTACATTATTAATACGTTTTTGGAACTGCACGTATACTCCATCAGCTGCATTTGTAAATATAGTTATGGGATTTAATAACTTTTCTCTTTCTTGCTTGATAAATATTTTAAAATTCAAGACCAATTGAATAACTGCTATTTTCGTTATTAAAATGCCTAATCTCTGACCTAAAAAAAAAAAAAAAAATGCAATAAAAAAAATATTGTAAAACAAAGATAAATTTATGAAATATTTAGCTAATGTTAAAAGCGTACCAATGCATGATCTTGGTCCAATACCAAAAGCAAGAGATCCTGATAATTTGTTATTTTCTCCTTTTTCTCTCAAAGGATTGAACGTTGTTGGATCAGAGAAGTACCTGCTATCTCTGTTAACACCATTGATAGAAACATAAATGGGTGTACCTTTTTCAATGATCAAATCTGTCCCGGGCAACTGAAAATATACAATATGTAAAATAATTTACGTATGATCAAAAGAAAAATCAATATTTTACCTTATAATCTTTTACGGCAATTCTATCAACAATTGGCAAAGGTGGATATAATCTTAAACTTTCTTCTAATACATCATCTAAGAAGCTCATTTCCTTGATGGAATCCATTGTGATTCCATCTTTATCAACGATACCTTTTATTTCATCATACAAACGTTGTTCATATTCTGGATGCAATGCTAATTCATAAATTACAAAAGCAATAGCTGTTGACGAAGCTTCGAATCCAGCAACGAAAAACGAAACTGCTTGAGCCAATAAATTATCACCTTTGAAGTCTGGACAAAATTTTTAAATTATATTTTTCAAAATCAGGATAATAATTATAATAAGTAGAATCAAAAAAAAAAAAAAAAAAGAAAAAAGAAATTGACTCACTAAATTCAGGATTCTGTTCTCCATTTTTTAAAGCTAACAAAGAATCGACCAGATCTCCTCTTTTATTTCCAGATATTTCTCTGGCGTTCATCGAATCCCAAAAAACATGACGAAAGAATTCAGCTGGTTTTTTGGCTAATGGTTCGATAAGAGGAGTTATTTCTGGTAACAGGAAGTAAATTAATACGATTATACCTCGTTTTGTTCCAGATAATATTTTCTGTCCTGTTAAAAATAATATTATGCCATTAAAAGAACAATTTATTATATGAAAATGAGTCAATAATTATTTACAATTAAATTGTTGTATTAATTTTAATTAATTGTACCGTATTTTTGTTTATTTTTGTTCCATTAAAATTGTTAAATTTTATATTTATTGCGATATTAACAATGATAGTTTTAATTTGCATTAATACTAAAAATAGAACAGTACGCAGTTATACGTAGTTTGATTAATGTTATGACGTTATTCTGTGTAAAATCACGATGAGAAAAAAAGAATTACGATAATAATTTGCATAAATAATTAACAGTATAATAAATTAAGAAAAAAAAGAAAAAACATAATTACAAATGCTAATACACGAGCAACTAATATTTAACACAATACATTAGCTAAAAAAAAATAATATTAGAAATAATTTATGACTCAGTTTGGTATTGAAATATTGAAATTATATTAGAATTCACACCTGCTTCCCAAAAAGCGACGTCATTTTCGTGGAACGAATTAGTATTAATGCCGAAAGCAACGGATGAAATAACATCGGTGGCATATCTTGAGCTCAAGGCTTTCAATTCTAAATCTTTCCAGCCATCGGCGTTAGCTGGTTTATCATCAATATATGCTAACATCGAATTACAACATTCCAACATCAATGGTACCATGGTTTTCATCTTTCCTCCCGTAAAACTTGGTGTCATTTTATTTCGTAAATATTTCCATTTAGGTTGATTGATCCCAAGAAGATTGCATAAACCAACCGTATCTTTTTCGTATTTTCCACCAAACATACGATTGGGAAAAGTATTAAATTCCGACACCATTATTTGTTTTATCAAATCAATATCTCTCAATAACAAAGCTGGCTTGGATAAAATATAAAAACCAATATATTTGTCATCTTTATCGGCATAATTGTAAATATCTTGAAGTAATATTCCAGGTGGTTTTTTAAACGTTATGGTATCCTTGAAATTGCCAAAAATTAAATTTGTCGGAGGACATTTTACTCCTCGTTTACTCCAATAAGATAATTTGTATTTTAAATAGAAATATATTATAATTGATATTAATATCAATATTAATATTAATTTATTTAAATCGATCGTGCATCCAAACATGATGGAATAATATTTCTTTTTTTATTATTATTATTATTATTATTATTATTCCACCACAGAAAACCTGTCGATAAAAAAAAAAAAAAATTACAAAATTCAATAATTAAATTTATGAAAATTATATATGTGTTCATTATGCAATGTAATAATTATATTCAACGTGCAATATAAAATTTGAATTTGAACATTTGCGCTTAAATATTTTTAATTAATCATTCGTGCGAAAAGATTATAAACAAAATAATAAATAAAAATATTATTCGGAAACACGAATATAAAGAGATTAGAAAAAATTCGTAATATTAAAAAGAGAATGTCTGTTAAAAAAGATAAAATAGTTACGGCATAGTGAAAATATGGTAAAGGGTCTTTTGAAATAACTTCTCTATTTTAAGATATTCAGATGGTTACATATACATAAATTATGTATACATAGATTAGAGAATTAAGAAAATATACACATACGTATTTATATTCAAAGTAAACAGTTAGAAATTTGAATGAATATGAAATCGAATGGATACAGTAAAAATATAATCTATGATCTAGTTGTGAACGAAATATCATGTTCAATTGTGAGTATTATGTAATCGTTACAAATAATTCCACTAGCTTAACGATTTGATGTCCTCGAATGATAATTGAAAATTATTAAAAGTTTATGTTGTATATTCGATGATCTCTAATCAACTTTTTAAAGTTTTTGTTTTCTTTTCTTAAATAATTTTATTTATAATTTTATAAGAAAAAAAAAAACAAAGAAAATATATATTTAGTATAAGGTAACATTATTTTTTAAGGTGTACACATTTGATACAGTAAAATTGAAATTTATAAATATTATAAATCATTCGTAAATAAATAATTCAATAAGAAATAATTATTCATTTTAACAACAGACGAGATAATTAATTAACAATTATTAAAATGTCATACGAATTAGAATAGAAAATATTGAGAACAAAATTTCTTTCCACGATTAAATAAATGTATTCTTTTAAAAAGGAAAGTAAATTTTAACGCGAATATTCTCTCTTTTTTTTTTTAACAAAACTAAAAATAACGAAGATAATAAATAAATAAATATATAAAAATAAGAAATTAATGATAAAGAAAAAACGTCGTACCTTAATTTAAAATGTTGAATAAAGTAGACACAACGTGATAATTTGAAAAATTTTAAAAACGTGATCCCATGACGAACGTGTTCTGAGTGATGTTTGAGACGTTATGAAGTTGATTTCTTTGCGTAAGGTTTTTATATATTCACATAAACTCACATGGTATGTCGAAATGATTAGGTCACGAAGAAAAGTGAGAAACTTTAATGTAGCTCTGACTCTATCTTAATTTAACATTATAGATCTATTACATTAATAATTTAATCAATAAAATCTATAATGTTTAACTATTGTGCAACAATTTTCGTTTTTGTACAAAGAAACGTGCTATTTAATCGTTTGGAAAAAGTAATTCTATTCGATTAACAAACGGACATCAATGATAAGAAACCATAACAGCGATAAGAATCCATAAGTTATGATTATCAATCAAAAATGATGATATATATTTTTTGTTTACGTACAAATTTCTAATATCAAAAATCATTGTATAAATTCAAATGTTAGTTTCTTTGTTTTTTTTTTTTTTTTTTTTAACTAATATTAAAACAATAAAATACAATCAATTGTTTATTATTAGATACACGCGCGTATTTTAATCAAAAGTGTACAAAAATGTTTATATTAGATTAAATAATTTTTGTATAAATATGAAACTTGAAGATAAGATCGCAAACAGTAGACATTTAGATTATTTCAGATTATATGTACTTCCATTTTTACGATAAGATTAAGAAGTATTTACAAATCTTGTCATATAAAAATATATAAATATATATTTATATATATATATATTTATATTTTTGATATTAATTAATTAATTATTAATTAAATTCAATTGAAAAATTAAATTACAAAACGCAATTATCTTCTTTTCTTATATTTGTATAATTTAAATAATTATCGAGACGCAAAGTGCGCATGCGCCGAATAAGGTTATTTAAATATAATATTTGATATTTTCAACAGATGGCAGTCGTATCGAATGATGCGAGTTCTAGTATACATAACCTCCTTTGTCTCACTTGCGCGAATTTCTAATAACGCGCATTTAATTTCTCACCTATTTAATTTAAATGTCATATTTATTTTCTACTAATATAATATAACATCAACGTAATAATAAAACATACTTTTTATAAACTATTGAAAATGATTATATCATTTCTAACGATCGACATTTAATTCCATTGAATTTTATAGCCTAAACAGGGGATAACGACGCTGCTATCAAAGAATGGATTTTGCAAGAGGCGGAGGGCGATGATTCAGTTATGTTGCCTTCGACCGGTTATTTCAAAGCAATCAATTGTCCATTTTACGAGAATGGATTATGCGAAAGACCTTATTGTCATTTTAAACATGCCAGAAGAGGTGAGTCTAACAAAATCATTCAATGTCGCATTCTCAATTATAACCTAGACAGGATTCAATTAATTATTATTAATAAAGTAATTAATGATCAATCGTTAATTTAACATTATTTATCTTTAGATCAATTCCGGATATTAATCTAAATAAAAAACTTTGAATTCAATGGTTGCATTCTTTGTTCAGTAACTGTTTGAATGTATACGTTTGTATATGTTGAGATGTCTTTTTTTCTTTGTTAGAAGTGTCATTGAACAATGAAATTCCTTAAAAACTCTATTTGTTTATTCATTCACACACACACACACACACACACATTACATTTATTATAAAAATATTGGATTGATTAATTTATTAACCTAACGTTTGGTATCTATTATATAATATGTATTGTATTATTGTTTAGAAGATGCAGCAAATACAACAGGAATGGTTGGAGTGGTGGAGACCCAGGCAACGGATCAAACTCAAACAAAATCAAATGCAGCTATTGCTGCTTCCAATCCCGACATGTTACAACAATTGGTAACCGAAGCTGTTAAAAAAGTGCTCGCAGATCAAGAAGTTACAGACACAGATAAATTCTCTAAGACTATAGTTTCACAAGTGGTAGAAGGACTTAAAAAACCTTCCTTAACTTCTGACTCTGCTTCTACATCTGATACAACTACTAGCAATATCATTGGAAAGCATATGAATATTCCAACAACCATTACAAAACCAGTTCCTTGCGTCTACAATCCTACACCCATAGCTGAATTAAAGAAGAGGCATATTCCTGTGGTATCTTATATGCCAACCAGAGAAAACAGAGTTGCGGTCAAACGTAAATCCTCTCCAGATAGAATTAAACCTTGGTTAAGTGTTATCAAAGATCCGACTAGTTCGCAGTCAACAGAGATCACTTATAAACCTACTGCTATCTCTTGCATCAATGATCAAGATTCTGTACAGAGTTATATACCAACTTTTAAATCAGATTCATCTTCTTCCAATTCTTACGAAGATAGCAATTCCAATGACAACATACCCAAAGTCAAAGAAGCTTATTATCCGAGATCTAAGAAAAGAAGGGAAGAGTACGTTCCTAAAAAAGTCAAAGCTCCGTTAAAGAACGTTCAACAATTGGACGATACTGTGTTGGATCAATTTGAACCAGAATTCGATATGATCGGAGAAATATTAACTGCTGCGACAACTGCTCTTAGCACAGTACCCAGTGAAGAATCTCAAGATTATTGTTTAGATATAGAACCAAAGTTTTCCGACGACGAACCCATGCCGGATGATACCAAAGAAAAAAATGAAAGTAACGTTTACAAAAGTTCTCTATGTAACAACGAAACAAAGTCGCGAGATAATGTACTACAACATGGGACGAAAGTTGCCGATAATAAGAGAAAACTCGACGAAGTAGAAAATGAATTGATGAATAATCATCATAACGTTGACGATACTGCCGATGACAAAACTAATAACAAGAAACGAAGAGAATCAACAAGCGACAATATCAAAGAGAAACACAAGGAAAGAAGAAAGGATGATGATAGAATAAAAAAAGATCACAGAAGTAGCAGTAGAAGTAGTGATAAACACAAAAAGGACCATAATCGCTCAGGAAAAAGTAGCAATGAAAGTAAGAGTTATAAATCTAGTTCGTCTGATAAACGACATTCGTCGTCCTCCTCTTCATCGCATAAGGATAAAGAAAGAAATAAGAATAGTCACTCATCTAAAGAGTCTACTCACAAATCAAAAGAACGTTCCAGTCACAAAGACAAAGATTCATCCGTTGAAAGATCGAATAAAGATAAACATAAAAGTAGTAAGCACGATAGACATAAATCTAAAACGTATGACTCCAGTTCCAAATCTGATAAACATTCATCAAGTAAGAGTCATAGAAATCATCGATCAAGATCGCATCATCGATCCAGATCGAGAGATCGGATGCGTAGTCCATCTAAAAAAGACAAGCACGAAGAAGATAATATCGACAAAAAAATGAATACAATGTTAGACGAAGGAGAATCTGTTAGCCCATCTGAATCCGTACGGGGTTCTTTTGAGAACATTATATTTGATTCGTCTGAATCTGAAACTGATGTGCAAGAGGAATGTCTTAAAATCTTTCAAGAATATAAAGTTTCTAATCATCCAAAAGTAGTGTCGATCAAAGAATCTGCTAAAGTAGTAGAAACCGAAGAGAATGAGGAATTTGGTAAAAAGAGAGTAGCGCATCCTTCTGCAGCAATGTCATTGGTATCCCGTCAAGTTGGTCCGAGTCAACCACCTAAAAGAATACCCAATCCTCAACAAAAAATGTATGAAAGATGGCGTTTGATGAGAGAAGCAGCTGCAGAAAAGGCGGCAGAAAAAGCTGCTGAAAAAATGACATCTAATGTTACTAAAACTCAAATTACACCTACTCCAGTAATTCAACAATCAGCTAATGTTGTCAACGACGAGTCAGTCGTCGAATCTGTTTCTACGATAAATAATAACGAATTTCAGATGAATGGACATGGTAATAAATAATGCTCACACTAATTAATTAATTATAATTCATCTTGAACACGTTGAGTATTAAAAGTTGGCATCTCACTCAACGTGTTAAGCAATATAAATAATAATACTAATAATAATAACAATAATAATAATATCAAAATGTTCCAGGTCGAATTAGAATTGCTCATGTCCCGTATGCTATGTCTCTTGCAATGAAAAAGAAACAAGTTAAAGAAAAAATGGTAAAAAGCAATGACTCTAAAGCAATTGACAATAAAACAATAGCTCAAACTAGTAAGGGTGGTGTACGAGTTGCTCACGTTTCACAAGTGGTACAAATAATAAAAAATCTACTTAACATTTTAAATAACAATTATTCATTTATTTTATTAATCAATTTTATAATCTTATCTACAGTAAATCTTTATTTGTAGGTACCACAGTTAATACGTCCAGAACCACTTCAGGCAATGACACAAAAGTTTCCATTGAACGTACGTCAGTATTATATCAATATGATGCAAGATATATGTGTACAGATTTATACTAACGGTGAAGATGCCGCTCAACGTGCAGTACGAGAGGAATTTACCTGTCACGAAAAATGTAAAGCGCTTACGGTATACAAAAATTCTTGTATGTTAGCTGCTCATAGATTAAGAAAGGAAGTCGATCAAAATCGTTCCTCGGATGGCAGTACCACAACAGCAAGTGGTACCGTATCGCACGAAGCTGTACTTGCTGGTAAATCCAAAGGTTCTTGGAGTGTTTTGAAGACAAAAAAAGCAATAACTGATTTTAAGGGTTCAGCATTGTATAGTATGTTAAAAAAATGGATTATGACAGAAGAACAATTACAGGATAATGGATTTCCTCGTGCTCATCCAGAGGGTACTACGGTAAGATATTATTACATTAATCATATATATGAAAATGATTTAATATGAATTTTTGTTACTTTTGTATCAGGGACGTGCTAAAGTTTATGTAATAAACTCGCGTAATCAAAACGTACTATCAAAAGTGCCTAATGAAAGGATCTGTAGTCGTTGCGGACAAAATTATATGGTAGACAAACAAGGCTTTCCTGTACAGCAACAGAATTGTATATATCATTGGGGAAGAAAGTTTACTATTAAGGGAGAAGGAAAATATAGTTGTTGTCAACAATATGGATCTGCTACTGGTTGTTGCGATGCCAAATTCCATGTATGGAGTTATACTGATTATGAAAATCTTCGTGGTTATATAAAAACTTTACCAAAAGGTAACGCAATGCTTTATATTAGTATTTTCCATTTTTTATTACTTTATTTAAAAAAAAAAATAAAACACAAAACTAAATAAAAAATAACAATTAAAAGATATCGCTGAAGAAGAACAAGGAGTTTACGCGCTCGACTGTGAGATGTGTTACACTACCCAAGGATTAGAATTGACAAGGATAACGGTTATTAATGACGAATGCAACGTTATATATGAAACATTAGTTAAACCTCAGAATCCAATAGTTGATTACAATACAAGGTAGAGAATTATAATTGTTATTGAATTATAAATTTAAAATAAAACAAGAAAAAAATGATTGATACTAATCTATGTTTCGTGTGATGTTAATTGTAGATTCTCAGGGATTACAGAAGAAGATATGACAGATGTGACGACAACGCTTTTAGATGTCCAAGCTACGCTTCTAGCAATGTTTTCTAATAAAACTATACTGGTAGGTCATAGTCTTGAAAGTGATTTCAAAGCACTGAGGTTACTTCACGATACAGTGGTAGATACCAGTGTCATGTTTCCTCATAGAAATGGTTATCCTCAGAAAAGGGCATTAAAAAATCTTTGTTCTGAATATTTAAGAAAGATCATACAAAATGATGGTAAGTATATTTGATTAACAATACTATTAATAATATTTTATACGATTATGAAATGTGTGTATCTATGCATGTTTCTTCTAATTATTTAGTCCATGTTACATTAGATCAATAAATTACAGTTGGTGGTCATGATAGTAAAGAGGATGCTGTAGCATGTATGGAATTGGTGTTGTGGAAAGTCAAAGAAGAAGCTAAATTACAATAAAAACAAAATTAGGTGAAACAATAAGAAGAAGAAGAAGAAGAAAATAAAAAGGAATTATTTAAAAAAATAAATAAAATAACAAATTGCGCTGTATCGATTACATACAGCGCTTCACATATATATATATATATATAAATAAATAATTCTTTTGTTTCTGATTCCGCGACACGCTAATTGTTAATTAATATGTACATATACATATATACATATACATGTATACGTATAAATACATGCATATATACTTATTTAATTTAATTGCTCGTATATATAAAATTTTGTTAAAATGTAAAATAGTATATCGCTTTCTAAGTATTACATTCTATTTCAGAATATGTATGTGTATTTATTCATACTTATAAATTTAATTTGTAATATTAATTCATCAAGATATTTCTCGACCTCATCTTTTTATATATTACATGAATATAAGTTATTATTTTGTTAGTATAGGTAAAAAAATTAAAATGAAAAACAAAAAAAAAACAAACAAACTATATAAAAGCGATAAATTATTACTCATGCGTCATTGGGATAATACGTATTCTCGTATTTCTCGTTTAATCATTAATCGTAATTCTCGATTAATATTTTTGTACTTCGTTATTATTACCTATTTATATTTTAAATCATTAAAGAAACAAGATGAGTTCATTTTAATGTTTGTTAACTGACCTGACTTCTAACAAAAAGAAACATAACACATTGAAAGTAAGAGGAATTTGGATATTCGCGATCGAAGCCGCGTGAGTTTGAAGATAAAGCAATTTTTCGCACAAGTGTAAATCTCTCGTAAATAGAATAATATGATGATACATATGTGATTTTATGTCATGGATCGTTCTTTAATAAAATTATGGACAATTTTCTAATATTTTATTATTTTTACGACGAACGTTACATCATGTATAATATTGAATAATTTCAATTATTAAAAATTTACTTTTCATGTAAGATACTAATTATTATTCTAAAAATACGCATACCTAATTATAAAATAATTAAATTTTTATCATTATTTATAAAAATATTACGCCTGTACAGATGCAACCCTCCAGACACACTTTGAAAATGCTGCTTACGAGCGCCATCTGTAGAGACGGAATTTTTTTCTGCCCGAAAGATAGGCAACCCGTCATACAAATGTGTATAAACAGTTTGAAAGGAAAAAAATTTTCGTCCCAACAGATGGCGCTCGCAAGCAACATTTTCAAAGTGTGTCTGGAGGGTTGCATTCTTACAGGCGCGAATTTTTATAATTTATTAAATAAATAATTGTGAAAAAAAACTAACGTAATATTAGAATAATATATTTTAATAATATTATATAATAAATTATCCTACTTCTGATACTATGAACTCGTCTCAAACTCTCGAAACTTGCTTTTGGCAAAAGTTTTACTTCTAAATATATTTTAAAAATACATTAAAAAATGAACAGAGTTTTCTAAATAATATCTTTAACCATAATGAAATTTCTTTAAAACTTAAGATAATAAAAAGATTATTAAGTAAAGTGATAGTTAATAGCTTTACCTGATCACTATCAGAATATTAAGAAAGACAGGGAACTATCGTAAAAGAAAAAATACTTAAAGAAAGTTTTTTTTCCTAAATATCTATCTTAACTTTTCAAGGATTATACACTAATCCCATTTTCTTCAAAGTTTAAAAGAAAATGACAATTTATGAAGAAATCGATAAATGTACGGAAAAACATGAGATTAGTGTTTTATGTATCAGTTGGGATAAGGCTATTGATAAAGTATGTCCTAAGGTGAAAAGGAAAAGATAAAAGTAAATAATATAAAATCTGACATTAATTTTTATAAATTTAATCTTATTTATCTGAAATAATCAGATCTTAAAAATTCGTTCGCTTTTTTTTTTCAAATCATCCCCATTTCAAAGAAGTTTTCACTTCAAAAATTCAATGAGTTACGAAGAAATTCGTCAATGATCAATGAGCTACGTAGAAAATCGTCAATGATCAAGGAACATTGACTGAACTTTTCGTAGACTCGTGCATTGACAAATTTCTTCGTAGCTCATTGATTCACTTAATTTGAACAAATGTTTTATTCCTACATTCGTGCATTGACTAAACTTTTCTTAAACTCGTGCAATGACTGAATTTTGCTCTTACCTCACTTTACCGGCAATAGTAGTAATAGCTTTTATACATTTATATTTCCATTTTTTTACAAATCAAGAAAACTTCATTAGAAATTTCTTGTAATAAAAGTCAATTTTTCTGACGTTTGAAACTTATGATTTTGTTGAAACATATCCATTAGCAAGAAACTAAAGGTTTTTTAAGTAATATCACTAAGTTAGTTTCTTCGAACAGTTAGATAATAAAAAGACTGATGAGTTCAGTGATATTTAATAGTTTTATCTGATCCCTATCAGAATAATTCAAAGAAATGATAAATAGTTATCAAAAAAAAAAAAATAAAGGAAATTAGCGTAAGCTTTATTGTCTGAATCTCTTAACTTATTAATTTAATTACTATTCATGATTTTCATTTGATTTCTTATATATGTATTTACACGTATGACAATTAAAATATGTATATACCAATTACATTTAGATAAAAATTTTTATATATCTTATAGGATAGTTCGAACAGACATCCTATTATCTAAAAAAAAAAAAGAATTGAAAAATGATTATAAGATATTTCTGAGAAAGAGCTTGAGAAATGTACGGAGAAACGAAAGATTAGTCTGTATAGTTAGACGTAAAGATTAGTCTTGTGTGTTCTTGTATAAGGCTAATAATAAAGCATCTGCAAAGATTGAAAATAAAAAAAAGAAAAAATAAGGGAAGAAAAAATAAACATTTTACGGGTATGTGATCTGTGAGCAAGCCGTTCTTGAGAAGTAACCACCAAGTTCGAATTGGTGCGATATTGGCGAAGATTATTTTACAGATATATATGTGTGTGTGTGTGCATGAATGATGCAAGTGGCCGACGAATGATGTCATTACTCCCGATAGGAGGCGTAAGTCTTTTGGCACTTCTTCGTTCGTATAAAACTGATGCGAATTTCTATTGGACGTCAGTATTGTTTCGAACACGCGCAGTAATCGTTTGTTCAATTCAAATAGAATTTAGCAAATAATTGTCAATAACCAACAATCATGACAATATCTAAATCAACAGTAAGAAGTGTATTGGAGGATTTGGGTTATCATCCAGTATCATCGTATTTAAACGCTATCGTTGAGGAGGCCAATGATTTCGGTGACAAAAATGAAGCTGTAATGTTTTTAGCACAAACAGCTCACGAGACAGGTGGATATCGATATATTGAAGAAATAGCATACGCTGGATCTGGTAGAATTGCAACAGAGTATGGTACTGGTGCACCAGGAAAATCTTATCATGGGAGAGGATTTATTCAATTGTCGTGGCCCGATAATTACAGGGCTGCTTCTTCGGCTTTAGGTATGGGTGATAAATTATACAGACATCCTGAACTCGTGGTGCAAGATTTAAGTATCGCTGCAAGTGTATCCTCATGGTATTGGCGTAGCAGAGTTAGACCTGTTGCTGGTGATATGAGCCAATTTGGATTGACAACTAAAGCAATTAATGGTGCTTTAGAATGTAGAGGACAAAATGTTGATAAAAGTAAAAACAGATATAGAATATACAAAGCACTTGCACGTGAACTTGGAATACGTAAMATGTCATCCGAATGTGGTTGCTACAATTAATAGATTTTTTTCTTCAATAATTTTTTTCTATGATTTTCCTCATTCTTTGGTAAGTATTTTATATTATTTTCAAATAAAACACTATATATGTAATTTTTGTATACACAAGTTTTCGTAAAACTAATCCTTGTGTTTTTGTTTTTTGCATAGGATAACGAAATATGAATTCAATTTAAAGGACCATTATTATTATTATTATTATTATTATTCATTGAACTACAAATGGAGATGACAATTAAAATATAATATAATAGATTTATATACTAGGTGATGGATTTGATAATATCGTAAAACATGTATTATCGCAAAACTCAATAAAATAATTAAGTTTATATTATTTTGTATTTTAATATGTCTTAAAAATAAATTTACAATATATCTTATTCGTATAATTAAATTAATGTATTTCTTATTGAATTTTTATCGAGTTTTGAGAAGGGGAAAAGATCAGTACCAAATAGAATAAAAAATTAAGTAATGAAGTATATTTTTAAATTAAAAAGAAATATAAAAGTATATTGTTAAACCAAAAAAAAAAGTAAATGAAATAAAATTTAATGTTAAAGTTAAGAAATAAAAGTTCAATCAAAAGAAATGAAGTATATTCTTAAACCAAAAGAAATGAAGTACATTTTTAAATTAAAATAAATGAAGTAAAAGTTAATGTATAAAGTTAAAAAATAAAAGTTAAATCAAAAGAAATTAAGTGCATTTTTATATTAAAAGAAATGAAGTAAAAGTTAAAGTTAAGAATTAAAAGTTAAATCAAA